ATTTATCTATTTATTGTAATACCTGTTCAGTCGCACCGTGTTGATGAAGTAACTCGACAACTTGAGTGAATCCTATTGCTGATTTCATTTTAACTTTACCTAACCATCCCTAAAATATAAACACAAAAGCAATTGGTCAAACGCGCAAACAATTAGTCATTCGCTAATACAGGCAACTTGGACCGATTTGTGGATATCTTGGGGTCTGTTGCAAGCAGCTTAAACCGGCTTAGCTGCATAATAAAGCTTTAAAGTAAAATTCAAAGAAAATTTTTGAAAAATAAATGCATGGGAATGACGCAATGGCACCTTCGTAGTAGTTATAATAAGTAGTTATAAATCTACGAATTTATGACATGAAATTTAGCCTTTTTTCTGCAGGGGGGGAACTGAAAAGGCTGAAGAAAAGACTTGGTACAAAGGCTGGGACCAACAACCAATTCAACCTGAAAGTTATGCCAAGTATGAAATTCACACCCAGGCTACAACGGCAGGAACAGAGACTTCTCACCACTGCGCCATTCCTTAGTCCAGACTGACGCTGAAAAAAGGGAGTCTGTTTCCCAGCTCAGCTCATACAATCTGCTCTTTTTACATAATAAAAATTCATATCAATCTTCTCCATGCTCGACCATCGTCATACATTTTTTTGTTTATTCCTCTAATCTTGACGTTTTTCTACCTTTATAGTCGGAAAAAATGACTATAACATTGTAGTGCACCTCCTTTAAATACGAAACCTTGTGTTTTTGTAGTTATGTACTTAACATAAGTTGGGTTTCTTTCAGCTCATAATGACCGAATTTAGTCATAAGAGAATTAATGCTATTTCCCCATATTGTAAACGTACTTTTACTGTAAACATCTGTTCAAGGCCTTTCCATTGTTTTAGCTTGGCTCGGGAAGATAACGCTGTCCATTCATACTGCTTTTCGGATAGCTATAGAAAATCATTAGAGTATTAAGGTAGGTCAACGTAAAGTGATTAAGGAAGAACTTTCAAGTTGAGTGCAATGAAAAAAAAGAACAAAAGAGAAAAGTTATTAGTCACACGCATGTACCACACGCACAGGAACGCAAGCCCACAGCACGCTCATGAAGAATTTCCCAAACGGGTTTATTACATCATTTGACTAACGGGTTTGTTGTTCGAGCAAACTACAAGCTAAGGCAAACATTTAAAGCTGCCTTCACTGCATGAAAAAAAAAATACTTTGCACCTCTCGACCCGGAGTCCAACGTAAGAGCACCAGGCCATCGCGTCTGGAACTTACCTTAAATCTAGCGCGAATAGCCATGGGACTGGTGAAAACACTCTTAAGTAAAAAGAACAATTAAAAATAATTAGGTGTAATATAAAAAGAAGATTTAACTCATCCACACAAAAAATACATCTTATATATGTCCTTATTATAATGATTTATACCTCGGGCTCTCCAAAATGATATCGACAGCAGTAGTATAGTGTCACGATCACTGAGCACAGCGGTAACGAAGCTTGCCTCGGGTGCGCTACCATCACTTGGTTCTTTCGTTCACGTTCAGCTCGGGAATCTGCGTCCTGGAAGGCAAAAGAAAAAAGGGAGATTTCTAACTGGAGGAACGATAGTTGAAAAAAGGCTATTTTCCAGGTTTTAAGACGTCAAAATGACGTCAAGGAAAATGAGTCAGTTGTAGGGTTCAAAAGCACAAGAGCATATTCGGATAATTCTATATTCTTTTGTGGTTGTTGTGATCGTCGCAAAACAAAATTTTATTTCTTTAATTTTCAGTTTTAAGCTTTGTGAGGTAATATTTTCGTCCTCCAAAAAATGTGTGCTTTTATATCAAACCAGGTTGAGGCAGTTTTCGATACCGTAATTAAAACACGTTTGCTGTATTTTAGCAACAGCAGGCTTCCATGTTTAAATCACCTCATCTTAACACAAGGAGGGTTGAAAAAGTTCGAGAAAGTTATGCAAACCCGTTTGCTTAACTTTTTTTCGAATTCTCCCAAAAGCCTTGCGTTTAGATTAGGCTATTAAACATGGAGAAAGACCTCTATTACTTTTATAAAATATTTCTGAGAAACACAGCAAGCGTAAAGTAACAATCGTGTTTGCATGTTCTCAACTAAACACACGCACCAGCCAATGAAAGCGAGCTTCTATCTTCAAGATTTCGTAGAATTACCTCAATGAGTAATTGCTGCTCCAATAAATCAACATATTCTGTCAGATAAGTCGTTTGTTCGGCCAGTTCGAGATGACCTTCAAAATAATGTCTGAAAACGAAGATGAACATTTAAATGAGTTAAAGATTAATCAAAATTAAGGTGACAAGGACGGTGTCATGGAAACTAAACTTTGAAAACACTAATGTAGGTGTGAAGACGGAGGTTTTTGTCTGAATGCTTTTATTGTCGCTTACCTTGTGGGTGTTTTTTTTTTTTT